GCCCCCGAGTCAATCGGGCAGCCCGAGTCAATCTGGTACCTACACCGGACCTCAGCAGAGAGCCATGAGCCGCCCGCTCTCAGCCGGAGCAGGGGGGCTGGGGGCTGGTAATAGACATCACAAGTCTCCCGGAAGTTCCTGGAGTCTCCTTGATATAGATCTTGATCCCCAATGCCAGCGAGTTGGATAAATTATCCCGGATTTTAGACTCTGCGAGGTGGTGTTTTTTTAATGGGAATGAGAGCATACAGGCAATACAATAATTTGTGCACCATGTGCGGATTAAAACTACTTCTGGGTGTGGGGAGGAGGTTCTTTGTGAAACCTGTACGTATCTGTCCAAAGCGATGCTCTGTTCAATGAGCATATCTGTCCAAAGCGATGCTCTGTTCAATGAGCATTCAAGGTGACTGGTTTTAGAGAGCGCACTGATTGGATTAGGCAGAAAAATAATAAGTAATACGTTTTGGTTCACTCTCTGACAGTCAGTTAGTTACCACTCAAAGCTGTGCATCCTGTCAAATAGGTGGAATCCTCCAGTAAAAAAGTTGCGCTGTAGTCGACCAAAATCCTGTACGATTTTTTAATTCCCCCTGGACAGTAGGACATGTCCGGAAAAAAGAGAACGTCTGGTCACCCTACCATATCAACAATTTCGATGTTTCAGTGACTGAGTGCTTGTTGCTATGATGCGTCTTTGCTCAGCAGCTTGGCTCGTTGTAAACCAACCAATCAGAGCACAGCTCATCTAAATATTCATCAGCATACCATAAAAGGAAGAAAACCTGTTGTTTCATTCTGGGGTTTTTAACCAGGCTGCATTAGGGCTCATAGAACAGCAAATATGCCATTTTCAGCCCAACCAATGTTACACACCCTATTCAGAGATCTTAAGGACCAGCACCAAATACCCTATAGAATCATTCTATGACCCCTTTAACCCCACACTGCTCCTCGGTGCGCCGCACAGTGGCAGCCCACTGCTCCCCAAGCTGATTGGTCAAAAAACAGAGAGTGAATTTCCCCATTGTTGGATGATAAAGGGATTTAAATTACATTTACATTACATCAAAGATCATGTTGTTCGTTTGTTCTGATAAACTGATTATGTGTTTTCTCACAGGTAGCGTGCAACAGACGGTCAGCGGGTCAGCCGCCGTCAGCCTGCGTGCTGGAGGTCAGCGTGAAGGGCGTGAAGATGATCGTTCAGGACCAGTGCCACTCTGCTCACCGGGTATGTCCAAGATCTGAGCTTCTGTCCATCTTCTGGAAACATCACATATAGCTGTACAGCGCCTCCCAGTGGCAGTTAAGAGTCTACAAATAGCTCTAAAAGAAAGCAAATATCAATCTGTGGAGAGTTTTAAAACAATCGTGTCTCTATTTAACAAACCAGTTTCATGGAGGCAGAATATTGCAGCAGAGAATAAGGCGTACTGGCATAAAGCTGCAAGAAAAAACAGTTAAGAGGAATGTTAATTTCAACAACCAGGGATCAAACCTCTGTGTTTTTCTTGCCAGGAGAACATTGTATTCTCTGAATGTTGAAATTAATCTGTGGGCAAAAGAAAAAAAAAACACTCATACTTTTCCTTTTGAAATAATATAAAAAACAAATAA